GCGGTTGGGATGCCATGCTCTATTTTTCGTGATGCTTTTCTGCATAAAGTGGTTTCTAAATATTCCTTCAAGTGTCTGTACTTCTTCCTTCCTTCCCTCCTCCTCAGTTGTTTCCCATAACAAACTTTTGTTGTTGTACAGCTGAGGTTTCCGTTTCTTTAGAAGAACTTTGCAAAGGGCAAGCACTTTTGCAGAGAAGATTTTTCCGATACTTTTTTCTGGGACATTTATACCAACTTTTAGCAAGGCAAAATACAATGCACTTAATTCCAAATATGTTATATATTTTCAAGAATTGCAAGGATGCCACCATTGCTGGGAAACCCCTTAAGGAGGGCCTTCAAGGCGGAGCTGGGGCCTATAAACATCACTGTGCATTAGCCAAAGGAAGTGAGGAATATCTGCGTTGTCCCACATTGTCTTATGGAAAAATACTTGCAGTTATGGAAAAGTTACTTGAGTTGTATTTTGGGGTATTACATTTTTGGACTTGGACACTCTCCCAAGGGTTGCCAGCTGTTCTTTCTGGCAGGGCTGTGGGATTCAGGTTAACTTTATGTCTCCCACGACTTTGAGAAGGATGGAGGATCTTAGCCACTCCCAGATCCACTTGGATCTGTTCTTTGGGGAAAGAAACCCGAAGGCCACACACAACAGACACCAAGGGTGTCTCCTTGGAGTCACGCTAACTGCCGCCTAGTATATTTCCTTGGGAACAGAGAGGAAGGGAGGGAGATGATGTTTATTCAGGGTTTGTTTATGGCCGGATCAGCTACTGTGAGTCAGACAAAAACTTTTAATTGCCAATACAGATTTTTCAGACTAAAAGCTGTCCAAATATTTTGAACTTCCTTTCCCAAATTCCCCTGCATTACAGTTTCAAGGGCCAGGTGGAACACACAAAGCTGAAGGAAGACACATAACACGAAAACTGTTCATATAAATTACAGCCAAATGTTTGGGTAAATGTGCAATCTCTGGCGTTAAGAGTAGCTGATCCTTTCCCTTTGTCTGCCTGTCTGTCTCTCTCTGCCTGTCTTAGTGTGCCATAATGTCTGCCTGCCGTACATAGTGTGACTACAACCTGAGCAGCTTACAAGACAACAAAAACAAAACAATTAAAAAAATCACAATAAAATCTTGAACTTCATCTCTTCATATTTCCTGTCTGTTTTTCAGCTCTCGTATCTAAACGCATTCCAGTCAAAAAAATCATTATAGGAGCTGTTATTGTTCTGGTCGTTGTTTTGATTATCACTATAATTTTATTGGCTGGTAAGTAATGAGAAATTTCCATTTAACTTTGTCCATAGTTGTTGTTATTGTTTACTTCAAGATCACCACATGCATTTTAAACCACAGAACAATTTGGAAGGAGGTAACAGCAACTGTGTGTATGTTTGCCAAAAAAGTAAAAATGCTTGTGGCAGTGCAATTGAAGCTAGGATTTTTGTAGGTGTATCAAATATTTCCTGCATATCCACAAAGGGAAGAATTTTATTGCACTGCTGTGATTGCCATCTTTTTTGACACTCTCACAAAGGCTCCAGGAAGGAAGGATTATTATATGAAAGGCAGAACAAGCACAATGCAGATGGGGGGGGGGGCCAGAAGATAGTATAATCCAACATAAATTGGCATTTGATTCAATAACCTTTCACTCTTGACCAGGTTAAAAGTGTGTGTGGATTTATCACTCACATTCAAGTATTCCATTTCCACTGTAGCTTTTTGGGGGAGTGGTGCCATCAAGTCAGTTTTTGACTCATAGCAATTGCTTCGACAAGTCCCTGCAGTTTTCATGTCAAAATTTTGGAAATGGTTTGTCTCTGCCTCTTCTCCTCCTTAGGACTGAGAGTCAAGCCAACTAGCTTTGTGGCTAAGACAGGACTAGAACTCAGTTTGCCGGTTTCAAGCTTGATGCCTTAGCCACTGCACCAGACTGGATCTTTTCCTGCTTAGCTTAGTCTACTTTTATGTTTCTCCTGACATACTCATCTCTCACTTCCATAATTAATGTGTGGGTGTGGGTGAATGTGTTCTTTCATTTTCTCTTAGTTTCACAAATACAAATGTTGTGTTTTTAACAGTGTCATTTCTTTTTTTTTTTATTTATTTTTTTAATTTTTTTTAAATTTTTTTATTTATAATACAATTAAAACAAAAATGGACATACGTGGCATTCCAGAATAAATATTCCTAACAATTTGTTTCTCGTGATACAAAAACTTAATACATCATCCTTAACCTCTATATACACCTCATTCTTCTACATAATACAATTATATATACAATTATATATACAATTATGTGTATGCTTCAATCCTATCGTTAGCTTAAGATCCGAGCAGTTCTCCTTGATTCATACCAGCGATAGAATTTGTCCCAG